AACAAATGTAAAAACATAATCTGTTTCAAATCAAATTTCATTTAGGCATCATAAGCCTAAACCTGTAAAATTTATATTACTTTCCTATAGCACTTAATACTTTTATTATTTGGTAGAACTAGAAACAATTACTTTCAGTGGTCTAATATATATAAGATAAGTATGTAAACACAAACACAGGTATATAACTTCCAAAAATAATATAAAATGGAACATACTTCATATATTTGTCAATATCTGATTTATTTATTTTTGAAGAGAAACATTAATGAATGAATTCAAATACCTTTATACCACAAAAATTAATCCAGATACTTTTAAAAACACATATACACTCATTATATCCAGACTATATTTACAGATTACATTTTTTAAAAAATTTTCCAAATGACAAAATTTTGTTGTCTAGTTAAAAGCCACTAAGATAAAATAAAGCAATGTTAACCAAATTCTTCATACTCAAGGATCTAATACTATATTTCAAACTTCCTCAAATTCAGTAGTCTATTAATCCTATAATTATTTCACTTTTCTAAAAAATTTTTTACATTAAATTATTAAAATTTTTAAACATTTTGGTAAAAGCAAGCAAATGAAAACCTTAAGAAAAATAAGTTTAGTCCTGCTGCAGTGACACAAGCAAGAGAGCACTGCTACGCAGAGGCTAAGGCTCCACAGAAGGCCTGGTGTGAATTCCGGTCCCACTCTCTCTTAACAGGTTAGGCATGGTTACACATGAGTGCAGACCTAGCTAACTAGGAGATGGAAAACATGGCAAGCCCTGTCAAAAATACCTCTCTCTTTCTCCTTCCCTCCCATTCTTTCTCATTTAAAAAAAAAAAAAAAAGGTGTGTGTGTGTGTGTGTGTATGTGAGTTTTCAACCTCAAAAATAAGAATTAAAGGGCCATGGGACCAGCAGTTAACATAATGGCTATCTCGCTGGACTCCCATGTAGTCGACCGCTGTTCAAGTCCCGGACCCGGCGGCTTAAACTCACACTGGGTGCGCGTGCGTGCGTGCCCAAGATCCCAAGAGGAGAATGGAGGAGAAGGGATTGTGGCATGGCCATCTCCCCTAGGGGGTGATTTCTCGCTTTCTGTCTCTCTCTCTCTCT